TTTTTGAAACCGATGGTGTTTAATAATATATTTCTGTATTTGTATAGAAAACTGAAGTGAATAATAAAACAACTTTACTGAGAAAGGTTCCTTATCACTAACAATGGGACGATACCATTTCTATGCAAAACTTACCCAAATTCGATAAGTTCTGGGCAAGCTGATGGGTCTGTAACAGCTACATGATATTGCAACCTATTGAAAATTATTAATATGGACAATTTTTGATAACGACATGCTGTATTTGGTAGTGAAATAACAAGCAAAGCCTCTGATTGGTTAGAAGATTTCTTTTCATTGTTCTATTTTATTATAAGGTCTTAGTTTTGGTACCAAAAGTCAACAATTTCTAGTTTTATGTGTCCTGGCCTGCTGGAAAATAAATCCTCTTAATCAATACTATTAAAAGAAAAAGAGTTTAAATAAATCTACTTATAAAGTTATTTTGGACTTTTTCACTAACTAATTATTATTTTTGGTCATACTTTATATTTCTCTAACTATATTATTATTAGTTACCTTATATTTTTCTAACTATACAATAATCAATGTTCTTATCAGTTACCTTAAATTTATTACTCGACATAATACACCAAAGATTATATATGATTCCATTATACTAATATATCATCCAATTAAAAAGTGTCTCATGAGTCCATAGCGTGACTAATGAATTCCAATACCAAAACTATATTGTTCTTTGGTGTCACCAAGTCCAACTATGCAACAGGTAACTCCATTCTTTATATTGTGCTTTGGTACCACCAAGTTCAACTATTCAAACAGATTACTTTCTTTTTTATCGAACTCTGTTTCTTAAAATAAAAAAGCTCCTTGAATGTTTATGTTGATCTTTTTGAAATATTTATCTACGAACATTACATACACTAGATCCTTTTCCGCGCTACGCGCGGATAACATTTTAAAAATTTTACAATTATTTTTATTATTTCAATATAATATATTGCCAAATTTTCATATGTATATAAACTATGTATATTTTAAGAGATTTGAGACTAAGTAGTACAGGAACATTAAATAAGTAAAACACGTTTAACATTTTTAAATTGTTAAGAGATCTGAGACTGAGAAGTGAAAAAACATAGTTGATATTGAAATTTAAAAAATCTCAATTAAATATATAGGAGAACTGATTATTATATTTTTTTTTAAAAAGAGGATGAAGGAATTTAGTAAAGAAAAATGAGTAATGAAAAGATATTCTCATCAGCAACTAATTTTATAAAACTTGACAAATTAAAAAGAAGAATGTATATTTTAGCACAATTTGAATTGAGCGGCTCATGCATCTCTACCCAAAACGGAAAAAGAGTCAAAAAGCATCACATAAAGAACTTTCAAATTTTTCGACGTGTTGCATTATTTCATTTCTCTAATTTGTAAAAGGCCGTTTGGAATTAAGAGAGTGTTAGATATTGCAACCATAAAATACTGTCAATTTTCAGTGAAAGAGAAAAGTTAAAAAAATAAATAAATTTGAATATATGTATGTTATATTTAGATTTGAATAAATTTATATTTTTCTTATCTCTAATTAACTCATTTTCTCAGGGTTTTCAAATAAAAGTGTATTAAACAAATATTTTCTTATATTTATATTTAACTATATATATATATATATATATATATATATATATATCCATACCAATTACAAAAACATAAATTGTTAAATTAATTTTAATTTTATTAATTTTTTTCTGAAAATTTTAGAAACATAAGAACTCGCAATTGGTTGTAATGTTACTATTTTATAAACGTTTGCTGTGATTTTATGTTTTATATAATAAATTTGATGTATGAAGAAGAATTCTTTATTTGTTATAGTTTTATTATTAGTATCATATAAGATGGGAAATATGAGTAGGAACGGGCAAAAAAATCCGAACCGACTCTAATCCGAAAATAGTACTAAACCCAACTGAAATAGGTTAAATATCTGAGCTGATTCAAAAATATCTAAAGACCAGGAATCGAAACCGATCCGAAATAATTCTGTTATCCAAATACATCCAAATCAGCTATATTTTAAAGCTAATATCCAAAAATCAAAAATTTATAAGATATTTTGAAGTTGTCAAATTTACATGTTAAATATTATTTTATTTTTAGATTTGAGAAATTTTAATATATGAATTTTTAAAAATTTAAAATAATTAAAGTGGATCTTATCAAACAGATCTTGCAAAGATCCAATGCAAACCAAATTTTATAATATCCGAATGAAGATGAAATATTTATCTTCGAAAACCAGAAATTCGAATAGACTCAAAACGAACTCGAATAAGTACCCAAACGCACACCCTAAAGATGAATTAGTTAGGTTAACTTTAGTTATAATCTTAGATAATTTAGGTTTTTTTGTATAACAATTATTAGCTTTAACTGATTTAAACGTTGTTTTGTCTTTAATATTATTAGATTCCAAGATAGAAAATATTGTTTTACACACTTTTAACTTCTAGGGTATGATTTACAAACATACTTAAAACATGAATATATTATTGTAATAAAGTTTAGAAAAAAGATATGTAATAAGTAATGTACAAAAATCGAAGTTGGAATCAATTTTTTTTTCATCATGCAGTATGAAAAATATGATATCATGAAAAATATGATATCATGTGCATTTGAATATGCTATATGGTCAACTCGGACGAGTCAGACAGGACCAGAAAGCTTTGTTCCTTCTTATCCAAGTTAGTTTTTTTCTCGTGAATACGATTGTCTCCGTCGAGATTCCACGAGAGCAGCAAGATTGTGGCATTGTAGAGGATGTGTAACTGGTTTTCTCTTCAAAGAGTTCGTAGTCTCCGTCTTCTTCTTCCTCCTCTTCTTCGAGGTAGAGCTCTGAGTCGTCAGACGACATCGTTCAGTTTTGAAGTTAGGTTTTAACCTGAGAAGCTAACTTTTTGGAGCTTCTTGATTTGGACCATGTGTCTCTTGAACTGTCAACGAAAAAAACAAAATACTACAAATTTAACAAAAATAGAAAACGCAATTTTTGCAAAAGACCAAGTATGATTAACTTACCGGCAAATTCAGATCTTTTCAACACATACTCACCACAGCTGGACGGGTAAATCACATCGCTCTCAGAAAAGTAGTTCCTCACAAATCCATTTCTGTAGCTCCTGATGAAAATTTTGAAATAAAATACATAGATCTTTCGCTTTCGGTTACAGATTTTGCCTCAGTTTTAAAGCACTGTTACCTTTTTGCATGACTAAGTGTATAGTGATGGCATGCTCTTCCCTCTCAAAACCGTAAGGCAGTTCATCACATCTTCAATGAAAACACACACAAAAGATCGAGCCTTTATTAACATAAAAAAGGATATGGAAACATTAAACTATGATCATATTACCAATGATGAACACAACAAAAGGATGTTGCCTTGGAGACACTAAGCACACTCCCTAATTAAGACTGAAGCTCCTGCGAGGAAGAGGAAGAGAAGATGCTATGGTTACTTCTCTCCAAGCTGCCGACTGAAACAGAGTCATTAGTCTCTTTTTATGTTTCATTGTAGGTTTCTTAAGCTACAAGTAACCAAAACCAACACTTACCCATATGACAAAACTCTCTTGTCCTCTTGTGCTATCAGATGATATAGTAGTTCTTCCTGATATGAGTTCAAGCAAAACTACTCCAAAGGCATAAACATCGACTTTATCGCTGACTTTCCCGTACATAAAGTACTCAGGAGCTAGGTATCCAAATGTCCCCACCACGTCCCTTTGTTTTGTGTATTCACAAGACTTTGATCCCAAATAGAAAGCCCAAAATCTGAAAGCTGTTATCACATGAAAGATTTTAAATGATTATGAGTTTGTTCATAGATTTTAGGAGTTATCAGTCAGAAGTTCTCAATAAATACCTGAGGTTCAAACTCATCCGAGAGAAGAACATTAGAAGATTTAACATCTCTGTGGGTCACAGGATTAGAACATTGGTTATGAAGATAATCAAGAGCTTCCCCTAACCCAATTGCTATCTGGAATCTCTCTTCCCATCCCAATACATGCTTACCTGTAAATATAAAATAGCCATATTTAATATATATTAAAGGCTATTGTGTCAAATATGGTTTAAAGAGTAGTGCTAACCCTGAAGGGCTTCCTCTAAACTTCCTCTGGATGAGAGATTGTAAACCGAGGTTAGGTCGTTGTGCTGAACGCAGACGCCGATCAGGGGAGAGATGTTTTGGTGACTAAAAGAAAAGATTATTCTCATTTCTTGAATAAAATCCTTCACTGCTTCTTTACCAGATGATTTCAAGATCTTCACCGCCACTTCTTTCCCATCTTCAAGAACCCCTTTATAGACTTCGTTACATCATCCTTTTCCGATTATATTCTCTGTAATAAATAATCAGATGAACATAAAGTGACTTAAAGAATAGAAAGAAAAAAAACAGAGTTGTTAGATAGTACCTGAAGAAAAATCAGATGTTGCTGTCTTAAAAACATCATAGCTAAACCATTTGTTTATTTCCTAAGCAGTAATACTTACCATTTTGTCGAGTTCTTCAGCGCTCGGTAAGAAGACAGCTTGAAAAAGCAAGGAGTAAAGAAACTTTACCTTGTGCCACAGAGGCATCTTTGCCCATGTTCTTTTTAACGTGATCTGCTTCGGAAAAAAAATATTGAAAATCAAATGAAGAATATACTGGAACTATGTTAGAGAATGCAACTCCATCATATCTAAGAAAATGTTTTGAAACTGTGGACGAACATATAACATACACGGCCATAAAATGTGAAAACCAAATAGGAAGGAGGAAGCGGAATCACAGTTGTGAAGAAGCAAACCTTCAAAGTCTGAGGTTTGAGAATAGACAGACGGCTTGAATTCTAATAAAGAAAAAACAAAGGGCTAGGCTGATTTCAAGTACTAAACCCATCCAAAATCATTTATTATCCATCTCTGTACAGTGCAAAAGTCGGTAATTATGAAGAATACCAAATGGAGGTACAACTCTAGATAAGATACATACATTGAAAGCCAACCCATGAGTTCTCCTCTGTTGTCACCTCCTTAGAGGTCAAGACCTGCAACAAATAAAAATATACTCTTTAATTGACTCTGAGCGGACATAAGATATCTCTCAAGTACTTCTTAACCAAATTGGTCGCATCTCATTAGTAAGCTCTCAATCTCGATATCTCTTAACTTCTTTCTTGGACTTCTCTTTCCTCTGTTAAACATAAAAAGGCGTGAACTCCAAGCCAAATATATCCTTGCACATCCAGCTATTCCCTGATACGTATCAAAAAATTTCTCTGGTGCTTATCAAGATAATTGTCAGAACATGATAAGAGAAGCAAAGTGTACCTCAGTTTGGTCATCCATCTTCTTTTTTTATTCAGCTGAATCATCTCAGGAGACAAATAATCCCACTTGTCTCAGATTCTGTTATAAGCAAAATACATTCACAATACTTCAACTTTGGTTATGTAGTGAGGACAAACAAAACAAAAGTTCACCTTGCCTTGAAACAGATCAGTGAGGACTTCTTTAAGCTGCTTAAGCTCTGGTAGTCTGGTACATTCTCAAAACCTTCTCTGTTACCAGTATCCGCAAAGAAAAAAAAAACATAATTTGAAATCACAAAATTAGGGTTGTCTATAATCAAATTGGCTGATCAATCATACCTTAGATTCGCCTAACACTTGTAGTCTATCCATGACGCAGACTCCAATCGCTATATTTCTATCAACAACACCTGCTCCTTTCACTCAGATGTTGTTCCACGGCAACGTTTCTCTCTATCTCGATGAACTAATCGTTCTGTTATATCGAAGGAAAGGTACAAACAAAGACATAATGGCTTTGGTATCGTACAACCCCTGGTGACTAAGAAAGGATAGATCGATCCAGAGAGATCATCGGGAGAGATACAGAGAGGAAGCGAATCGAAAGAAACAAAGAGATCGTTTTGTTTTCCCGTGTAAAATATGTGTGTAGTAACAATGTTCTGACGTGGCTATTTGGAGCTTTCTTATTTGTTGATTATAATTGCTCACGTGGCATAGCTCACAGATCTTTATTTAGGGCTTTTAATTATAGTAGATTATAGCTTCTCTTTGATTAACACTTAATAATTTCGATATGATTTTATAGGAGCTTTGCATACTTTAGTTTAATAATATATCTAAATATAATCAGCATATTTTGTTAAGAATATATTATAAACACGATTTTGAAACTTTATACTATTAGAAGTAAAATATTTGAAAATCTATTATAAAAAGATCCATATATAAAATTTTCATACCATTAACTACTCTAACTGTATAATTATTTATATATTTTATACAAACCTATTATTAATTTTTTTATCATCCAATCTAATAATTGTTATACAGTAAAATTATACTCCATATCTTATGCTTAATAATGGGTCTATAATATTTAGATATCAATTATTAAAATGAGAGCACATATCATTCAACATATTATACCATGGCCTCTTACATTATAATTCAAATATTTACAAAATCAAATCTGATAAAAACACTTTAGCAAATTATGTGTTAAAACAAAATTATATATTTTATGCTAAATTAAATTTTATAAAATATATATTATAAAAACTGTAATTTAAGGTAAGTTTAAAAACTATGAAAACACCCCTAAAAATGTATAAGATAAAATTAGCTAAACATTTTCTACATAAATTGTAAGTCTCGCCAATTGAACAAACATAACTTTTACAAAACACACACAAAATATAATAAATGAGAGTAGACATGAGCATTAAGGTCTTTGGATCTTATAAGAGTCAATTTTTTAGCTCCGAGTTCTTTAAGTCCTAAATATTTGAACTCAACTAGAGATCTGAAAGTTTTTGGTCTGAAGTCTGGTGGGTTCATTTCAAGTCTGGGTTGGTTCATATCCATAATTCAAATACAAATTAACAAATTATATGTAGTTTTTGGGAAAGTAACGGGTCCTGGTCAGTTTATTTCGGACCCAAAAAAGACTCGAACTATCCAAAAACCCAAGAAAATATCCAAAATCCGAAATGCCAAAAAATCAAATAAATACCCAAAACTATTCAAATACTCAAAATATCTAAATTTTACCCAAAATCTGATCTGAGGAACGAAAATACCCACAAAGTTTAATCCAAATATCCAAAATATATTTTAAGAAATTTGAAATTTTACATGAAACCCAAAACTATTACTAAAACCTGTACCTAGAACTTAAAAGAATATTGTAATACCAAAAACATATTCGAAATACTCAAATATACCTAATATACACAACATTTTGGATATGTAAGTTATCCGGTCGGATCTTAGGTAGGATGTGACTTGAACGAAGATTGCGGGTTAAAAAAATACCCAGCGTGTTCTTTGCTCCCGATCCGAATGAAACCTATATTTTTTGTTCGGTTTTTGGATCCAGATAAAATTCCCAAACCTAAGAGAGAGTTGCATTAAAATATACATAAAAAATCAAAAAATCTAATTCATAAATTATATAATTTTAAACAAATTTTCCGCTTTAATATAATAAAATTTTGTAACATAATAATGCATAACAATCTCAAAATACTAAATCAAAATACTAAATCATAAGAAATTTTATTTATAATAAAAAAAAATCGCGCTTTCTAAGCACAGGTCAAAATCTAGTCTATTATATTAAAAGAGAAGTCATGACTTATTTCATTTGTAATTTTTTTTATTTAGACATTTACTAAAAAATCTTATTAAATATATTTCATATTTTTGTAACTAATTTAATCATAATATCTTTTGATATCTTTTTAATTTAAATTTAAATATATATTAATTCTTTTTAACAAATCTGTTGAAAATGTTTTAGCAAGATCTTAACTTTAAAAAAAAAATATTTTATTAATTTCTAATTAGTAGTGAAATATAATTGTACATTAATATATATATATATATATATATATAGATTCAATTATCTCTTATAAAATGAAAAATATTCTTTTTATCGATTTTATAATCACAATCTATCATATTAAATAAAATTATTATATCAAAGTAAATGTTATAATTTATATTAAATTTATAAATTAATCCATTTATTTTCATAAAAATCAAATATTAATGTTAAAAATATATTATATGTTGAAGAAGGGATTAACATTAGTAATTATATAATACATGTATAAAATTAACATATCTTAAACTTTTATAATAACATATTAGCTAAATAAACATAAAAATTTTGCTAAATGGTAATCTAACTTTGAAACTCACATCAGAATTTAGTATAAATTGAACATAAAAGAATTTTTAAATATGGTTTTTCATACATATTTTAGTATTAATAACTAAATGCAATTCCAATAAGATAAATATATAATAAGAACTATTGAAACAATTGATATTAAAATACAAACTATAAAACTATTGTGTTTGTAATTGTTATATAAACATTTAAATATACGATGAACGTCACTAATTTATAAAAGATATATATATATATATATATATATATATATATGTATATAAAAATAAAAATAAAACCCACGCGGTTGCGCGGGTCAAAATCTAGTTTCTATTTAAATCTGTAAATAATAAAGTAAATATTCCTTCTGTTTTATTTTAATTGTTATTTTAAATTTGTGCACACAAATTAAGAATTACTAGATTTAAATCCGCACATCCGTGCGGGTAACCTTTCATTTTATAATTATAAAAATTATATTAGACTTTTTATATAATCATTTTTAGATTATATATTGCTGTCATTTTTAAAACAAAATAAATTGATAATATATAGTCATATATAAATAAATATTTAACATATGATAACAACTTTTTTTTTTAATTGTTACCTAATTTACGAATTTTAATTATTTTAAAAGATAAATGATATTTTGGTCAAATTAAACGGTAAATGATATTTTATTTATTTATTTAAATCAAAGTATTTTTCAAAATATATTAATTTACCAATTTAATATAATTTTATATGTAATTTATCTATCACTTATATTTTGATAAAATATAGGCTATACCTATAATATTTATAAAATTAGCATATAACTTTATTATATTTTCTTTATAACAAAAGTTTAATTAAAATTAATTTATAAAAATATTATACTACTAATTACGACATTAGTAAGTGCATTAAATAAAAAACATTTATGTTTTCAAAAAGATTTTATTAGATTTTTTCAACAGATTTTATTATTACTAAAACTAAAATTTAAATTTACAGTTAAGTAGATTTTTTATTAGTATCCTCATAATTATTTAGAAATGTTATACATTAAATAAACTAATGTAAATAATAAAAAATGTAACTGAATATATGGCCCTAGTATGACTATTTTATAGTAGATAAAAATGGTACTTCTCTTTTAGTAGAGAAGATTTAATTTTTCATATTTTCAAAATAAAAATATAATTACTTATATACCTAACCACATATTAACCAATAAAAAATAGAAAACCTAAGAAATTATGCATTAAAATTATAAAATGACATTTATTTTGCAACGAAAGTTTTTCTCCAAAACGAGAAATAAATTGGAACGGAAGAAGTAGTGTATATATATATATATATATGTGTGTGTGTGTGTCACACATGCTTTGACATGACTCATGAGGATGCTGATCACGCACATATGCGAGAGACTGGAACTTGAAGTGTTTTGCATCTAGAGAATACAATTGTAGTAGATTTTAAAATTCCTTTCTTCTTTTCTTTTGTAAAAAGCAAGATTAGTAAAGAGTCGTTTGATTGTGATTACCAGGGTAGTTTTGCATCCAAAGTCAAGAAAAAGAGGTTATATCTTTAACCTTCAACAACCCTGCTTATTCGGATGCACCTAATCGATTTTCTGTTAACCAAAAAAGTACTTAAATAAATGACGTTATCACAAATCCAGATAACCACCAAATTTTCAGCCATATACGTCACAGCATCTTTCTTCTACTCACACGGATAGGTTCTTAGAGTTTAGAACACGTTCTTTCCGATCTCAATGAATCTGCAGCGTCAATTGCTATAAGTGTTACTCGTGATTTGCGTCATCAATCATACATCACCCGTCTAGGTCCGGAATGGCTCATCATCTACTTGCTTTGGAGGCTCAAGTATAGAAGGATTGGGTGAGATTTTTTCCCTCGTTTTTGGTGTCTATTGACATCTCTTGCTTCCTTTGTATGTTTTTTGGCATCATTTTGTGGTTTAACTCTTATAAGTGTTATAAAAAAAAGGGTCATCAAAAACTAAACAAAATCCCAAAATCCAAAAAGTTAAATCTGAACAAAACTGAATCTAACATAATATCGAATACACCTTATTCCACGGTATTTTGAATTTTATTCAAACTGAATTCACATATATCCAAA